ATTCCTGCTTCTGGTGGTCTATGTGAATGATCAATAAAAACTATATTAGCTTATAATATAAACTTATAAACTTTATTATTAAAAATATTAAAAAAATTTATAAGATCTTATAATTCAGCAATTCTCAAAAGTCACATTTTGCGATAAATTTATTAGTAGATAGTGGAAAGTAATAATGTATTACTAACAATGTATATTTATTAAATATATTAATATTTTCATAATATCGATAAAACATTAATATACAATTTATAAATTAATGAAAAATTTAAATATTTTATAAAATATGATCAATAATATTAGAACACAAGATATAAAGTATATATTAATGAAAAGTTTACCCTGGAGGAAAATGTCCACCTCGTCCACCTCTGCCAGGAGGACCACCTCGACCTCTCATGGGTGGACCTCCTCTCCCGCCAGGGCCATTACCTCGTCCGCCACGCATCATGCTGCCACCTCGTGGAGGACCACCTCTGTTGCAAAATAAACACATAAATTATTTCTTTCATATTTATATTATGTACATATATAAGTATCTTTATTTATACAATTTAATTAAATCCTTTTTTTCAATTATGCCATATTTTTTTCATAATTAAAAGAATGGAAAATAATTACAAAAACAATGTAGTGTTTAAGAATTTCTTTCTAGAGCAAATTGTTTCTTGAGAATATTAGTGTGGCATGTGTGTCGGGCTAACTAACCTACATTCACAATATAGATTTGTATTTGTACTTCATTTTGTCTTATGGACGAAATATTTTGCTATATAAACATTTTTTATTTCTTTTTTCTTTTACGAAGCTATAATTTCTACAAAGCCAGCTTTTGCAATTTGGCTTTTAAGTAATTATAATAAGTATCTATTCATTATTCGTAGTGCAGATATGTGTCTGTTCAACCTATATTTTATCTCCTGACAGTAATATTGTCACAAAACCTTTTCAATTTTTTTTTTATGAAGCTAGTATAGAGCCGAATTTGGAATTCTTAAAACTTTATAATGAATAAAACTATCCACACTTTAATTGCATTATAGTGCAGATCAAGTGAAATCAGAATTTCAATTTGTTTTAAAAAAAAATTGCTTTAAAATGACCTATAGGCAACTGTTCTGATTACGAATATCCCAATTTATTATATTGCTATTTTATCAGTATTTTAGTCGAAAGAGAAATTTTTCTCTGATAGAGATCTCCATAGTCTCTCCTGCCGACGCTTAACGTAGATTTCTTTTTTTATGGCAAGCTTGTTTCAATAAGTTCTTTACCTTCCTCTCTCTCCAAAACCGCCACGTCCCCTCATTACTCCACCCGGGCCTCCACGGCCTCGAAAACTACCTCTACCACCTCCTGGTGCTCCTTCCATTGTTCAAACTTCCTGTAACGTATTTTGATTCATATATATCAAATCTAGAAGTATAAATCTAAAAATTTCGAAGTACAATAACATAAATATTTACAATAATTAATCCTGAAATTTTTCTCATGCTTCAACTTTATAGATCAACTGTTCAAGATTTGTAATTGTAGATATTTGCTTGATAATATATCAGTGGACGTTTTCCAGCAATGACACAGTAGGCTTGTTCTTTTTAATTGAACTTCTTATAGAGTTCATTTCTTCTCCTTTTCTCTCCATATTAGAAAAAAAGGAAAGATGAATCATACAAGAAGTTCAACAAAAAACAAACTACCTGGTTCTACCGATATAGATCGACTTTAAATTCGGTTCAATTTATTATTCACCTTTTTCTAATTCTTAGAATTAGTGAACTATTACATTCTTGTTTGCTAATGTTAAACAAGGATAAAATATTTCACAGTGTTCTTGTTGGCAAACACCCAGTGTCTATGGCTTTCCATTTAGTGACACAAATTGACATATGTTTTCAACTGTAGCAGATTTTAAACCGACCTGAATTGGATTAATGCTTGCTATTGATTGACGTTACATGCTCTACCAACAATGGAGCTTGCAGCATCATTAATCCAACACAGATCGGTTCAAAACCCACTACAGTTGAAAACATTAATAAACATCATTCTATTTTCTTTTTGGCATTTTAGTGAATAACAAAGATAAAACGACTTGTACTGATTTGTTACCAAATGAAAAGAACCTGATCCCTATTGCCTTCTTTTTTCTTGATGAAGATGGAGATAAAAAAAGAAGAGCAACAGGCATAAATGCTGACACATGTCAATGCCTAGAATTACAAATCTTGAACAGCACTAATCTATAAAAGTTAAAGGCTTGAGGACATGAAAAATTTCAAAATTAATAAATCCAAGAATTGAAAGGTCAAAGGATCTTGAATTCAGAAATTTCCAGAACATATTAGATTCGCAGTCCTATGGATTGTAATGCATTTGTTTAATCTGAAAGCAATTCAGTGACATTTTCCACCAAATTCTTTCAACAAAAGATACTCTGCACAACGTTAGTTATCAGTGCCTTTGCAAATACGGGGAATACCATAAAAAATAATCGAAACCCTCTCTCCCTCACTCTTCCTCTCTACGCTGAAATGCCGGACTGCGACGTGCGTGAATCTCTTTATTTACTTCTCTTTTATTCAGATCTCGGCGAGTTTCAACAAGATGCGGCGAGTCACGGTGTGTATCACAGTACCGACGCTATCTCGGAAAGTTCTATGAAAAATGTCCTCGCGAGGACGCGTCTCAGAGACACGACGTCAAATTTAATTGAAACGAACTCGGGAGCAAAAATCCAGAGTCGCGGATTCACGAAACGACACGATTTACAGAGACTGATGTTTACTTACGATGAGCAGGCGACTGTGAAGACAGCTCATAAATCAGGGACGCTCGCACCAACAAGCGAGCAAAATGGACGTCGGCGACCGTAGCGGAAATAGTGTTGTGAAATTGCGAATTGGAAGGACAGGCTCGGCGCATGCGCGGCGAGGCGACGCTAGCAGACGCTGCTACTCGTCTCAGGTGCGTACACATTTCGCTGGAACGGTGGGTATCGTTAGATCCCTCGCGGGAATACATTAAACTTGAGCGACACTTTAACCGTACAATTCATTGGCACACCCTGGTGGAAATTTTTCTTACTTTTTTTTTCATACAATTCATCAAAATTTTTATGCAAATTCCGGAATTTTTCAGAACTTTTGAATAATTTCATTACTTTTTCGAAAATTTCTCTGATATTGTATACAAATTTAAACTTTTCAAAAGTGTCTATAGAGAGTCTACACTGGAAAAAATGCAAGTAATTTTATATGAAAATTACATGTTCATGACTGGAAAATTGCCTAAATAGGATTGGAAATTTACAATTTCCAGTAAATTTCCAAGCATATTTATGTAATTCCCTGGTGAAAGAGCTGAAATTATTCCACGTTTTGAAACATTTCAGCGAAATTCCTGAAAATTTGTCGAAAATGAATTTCCAGCTAAAAATCGCTGGAATTAAACTAAAATTTTTTTAAATGCTGAAATTTTGTTGAAAAGTAATCCAAAACATGGAATAATTTCAGCAACATTTTTCCACCAGATAGTGTTTAGATAATTTCCCATACAGCACCAAACTTCTAAAGACGTTCATAGAACATTTTAAGAATGTACAAATATTCTTAGAACGTTCATATACTTTCTATTAATGTCGTGTGCTATCTGGGTTTCCAATCGTATACATGTAATTTCCATGTGTACGACGAAAATTACATGCATTTTTTTCAGTGTACATTTTTCTAAAATTTTTTTATGTAAATTCTGATCTAAGATTTCTAAGATTTTTCATTCTATAATTTCTGAAATGTTTGAAATATTACAAAATCTGAGAAATAGTTTAAAATATTTTTTATAATAATATTAAGATATAAAATTTAACGTTTAATTTACCAATTAATAAATTCCTTTGCTACATGCTATGAACACACATACATTAATTAAATTGGATAATTAACATATAGCGCTTAATTATTGATGTAAATAGTAACAAAGAGCATTAATAATTTATGGATCTGCAAGAGAAAAACGTTCCACGTAACATCAGTACGAGCCTGAGGCCGATCACGTGTTCAATGACGTAACTCACGCACGCGCATGATAGTCCGGAACGGTTTGTCAATCTAATTCGCAGTATTAAACGGAAAAAGAAGGATTGATTTGTAAGGACTGCGTGAGTCAACTCACATCATTTATTCATCTCCGCTGCCAACCACGGGTTCCAACCACCAACATCATCCAATATTAATTTATAGTAATTATTTATCTAAAAGGCTCAAGGGCACGTACATACAACACATCGAAAAATGTATGGGAAATTAGTAAATCATCATGTTATTGTGTTGTAATTTGTAATCTTTAATGATGCAATTTATACAAATCCACTGTATAATAAATTTTGTGTTACGTACGTATTATTATTATTATAAACAATCGTTAATTTATTATTGTTTTATCAATTTATTATTATATCTCATATCAATAACATAAATATTTGATAATTATTTATTATAGGGAAGACTTTAGTGATTTTGACTTCATATAATATTTGATATTATAATAATCAACATTAATATGATATGTATATACTACGTATATACAGGGTTTTCAAACTCGACGCACCACCAGGGATGTGTTCCAAAACTCGATTCTATCAACTCCAAATATCTTTTATCCTTGTTCAACATTCGGTGAAGAACAAGGATAAAAGATACTCGGAGTTGATAGAGTCGAGTTTTGGAACACACCCAGATAATAGCAGATTCTTGAAGTTATTTTGAGACGAAAATTCTAATTTAAAAAAAATATCGAGGTTATAATTTTTTAATTATGATCATTTAAAGCTAGCAAATTATGCCGTCTAAAATTTGCATGTTAGGTGTGATACAACATAAAGTGCTAAAAGTAAAAGCTAATATAATTTCGGCTTTTTGTACTACTTACTACCAGCGCGAGTTGTGATTGGCTACTGCTTTTCCGTTTTCTGCTTTTCCATCAAGTGTGAACGCACCCTAATGCTGGATTCACACTGCATCCGATTTTCGTCGTACGACGAAA